CTACTAATCACACACACACTAACCCGACCCCTAAACCTATTAATCACACACACACACACACACACACTAACCCGACCCCTAAACCTACTAATCACACACACACACTAACCCGACCCCTAAACCTACTAATCACACACACACACTAACCCGACCCCTAAACCTACTAATCACACACACACTAACCCGACCCCTAAACCTACTAATCACACACACACTAACCCGACTCCTAAACCTACTAATCACACACACACTAACCCGACCCCTAAACCTACTAGTAATCACACACACACTAACCCGACCCCTAAACCTACTAATCACACACACACTAACCCGACCCCTAAACCTACTAATCACACACACACTAACCCGACCCCTAAACCTACTAATCACACACACACTAACCCGACCCCTAAACCTATTAATCACACACACACTCACACTCAAGAGTTACTACATCCTCTCTGTAAGCGCACTGCACTCACAGCCAAATCAATCAAAAACCACAGCCAATCAGAAGAGCGTGTAAAACAGAATACAATTACTCTATATTAAAGGAATAAAATAGCTAAATAGGACTATAGACCTATTTTTTGTTTGTAAACAGTGATGACGTGTTTTGCGGGCGGAGCCGAACTAGTGGCAGAAAGGAACAGTTCTGTATTAGCGATGTCAAGTGTCAGTGCTAAAATCAGATTCACAACATAGGAATATGGATTATCAGGACGCCTTCTCCAATTATTTTAATGGTTTTCCAGCAGAAGACTGGAATTCTGATTGGCTGTGGTTTTTGATTGCTTAGGTTGCGAGTGCAGTGTGTTTACAGAGAGGCTCCGCCCACACGCTCTTCTGATTGGCTGTGGTTTTTGATTGATTTGGTTGCGAGTCCAGTGTGTTTACAGAGAGGCTCCGCCCACACGCTCTTCTGATTGGCTGTGGTTTTTGATTGCTTAGGTTGCGAGTCCAGTGTGTTTACAGAGAGGCTCCGCCCACACGCTCTTCTGATTGGCTGTGGTTTTTGATTGATTTGGTTGCGAGTCCAGTGTGTTTACAGAGAGGCTCCGCCCACACGCTCTTCTGATTGGCTGTGGTTTTTGATTGATTTGGTTGCGAGTCCAGTGTGTTTACAGAGAGGCTCCGCCCACACGCTCTTCTGATTGGCTGTGGTTTTTGATTGATTTGGTTGCGAGTGCAGAGAGAGGTCTTGAGTCGTTATTAGTGGCTTACCATGAGCTTTACTTTAGAATGAATTATACATTATACAGGTTTATATTTAACATGAATAATGCAGTAGTTCTTAGTAGTCCTCTGGGAGGTATGAGAAAAGTTGTAGTTATTGATTAGCAAATAGTGAACTATCTAATTCAACTGAGCGCTATTACTTAATTCATTAATCAGAGTATCTTGTTAGTTAATAGTGCGTTACTCATTTGTTCTGTGTAGTTATTCATTAACGACGGAACAGTATTCGAAAGCGTTACCAGGATTATGAGCGTGTAGTTGTTTATGAGACGTGGGCTGCTGTCTGTCAGGTGATCTGAACATCTTTTTGGACATGTATCGAGTAGATATTTACTTTCTGAATTCTGTAGTAATTCTTCATTGAGATTTGACTGCATACTTAAAATGTTTAATCAGGGGCACAATGTAATTTAGCATGATGTACCAGAGTTCATCACAGCACTATGATTGTACATAAAACCTGGAGTGGCTTGTTTATTTTAGTGCTGGACTAGAAATATCTCTAGCGTTTAAAAATCTGGGCCCGTATTCATAAAGAATCTTAATGCAAAAAGTCGCTCCTAGTGAAAAAATTCTAAGGAAATTCTTAGAAATGTGGGCGTTTACTCTGAAAATTAAAGAAAAAATCCTAGTAAAGAAAAAAGTCATTCAGAGAGTATCTTAACCCTTAAAAGAGGTCTTAAGGTCAAAGTTGTTAGGAGTGTGGACGAGGACTTTTAAGATGCTTAAGAGTTTCTTTAGCAGAGGAGAGATGGCAGAAAGACGAAGAGGGAGAAGAAATGTGTTGCAGACGATAGATGACAGTGAGTTACTAAGACGCTATAGACTGACACCCGGCCCGAATGTTCCTTTAAGGATGGCCTTGTGTTCATCAAACCACCACTTAAATAGACATGCCAGCAATCAGTGTAATTGGAAAGAGTGGAAAAATGTTAATCATTCTAAGCCAATCAAATACCTTATAGGAAACTAACAGCATGGTAAATAAAAAAAGGATTTATATACACATATATAATGTGTGTGTGTGTGAGAGAGAGAACGGTCAAATAGGAAAAATTACGCATGTAATTTCAAAGTGAAGGCTTAGAATAGACCCTATACTTAAAATCACTCTTTTTTTCCTTCTTGGACAACCAACCAATCACAGTCTTCAAAAGATTGTGTCACACATAGCAATGGGGTCAGCCCCGCCTCCTCACTAAGATGACAGTTTTTGTCTTTTCCTTACTCAGAGTTGCTCTCAGATCGGTCCCGAATCACTCTTAAGCTAAAACTCCTACGTAAAAGTTTTTAAGCTAAATTAAGAGTTTTCTGAGAGGATTCTTAGAATCTTTATGAATACGGGCCCTGATCATTTTATCACACACTACAGCAGCGCCATCTGCTGAGCACACACACACACACACACACACACAACAGCTCCATGTCTTATATTCAGTGTATAGTGAACTATAGCGTGTTAAGTCACTGATCAACAAAGCTGTTAATAAACACTGTTAATAAACTGCTGTTACGAGCAGCAGTTTACTATTGATCCCCCCCCCCCCCTCCATACTATGCAAAATCATTGATGTCTAATGTTTTTTCCCACTGACGGACAGAACAGTTCTTCAATCTTCTTTTGTCCCACAGAAGAAATCAAAGTCGTACAGGTTTGGAACGACATGAAGGTGAGTAAATGAGGACAGAATGATCATTTTAGGGTGAACTATCACTCTAACCTTAAGACTGCAGTCACATGACCAGATGTTTTAATTATGGAATTAAGAATATGAAGTGAAAAACATCAAACCCTGATTCTGATCTGAATTAAACACACTATTCGAATTTTTTATCTAGCTGGATTATCCATGTAAACTATGATATGGTAATCAATCCATCAATTTTCCAATCCGTGGCAGGGATAATTCAAGTCCATCCTGATCATAATGAAACGATGTGACAAGAAATGTTATAAAGGCATGAGTCAGAGTACAGTTTGCCACTTTACATTCTTTGTTACAAAGCCCATTAGATTCAGTTTTCCTGTGCTAAATCAAACACAGACTATCATGTAATTAAGATGGTTGTGACTCACTGCCACTCCAGCAATACTAATGCACAAACTCTGTCTATATAAAGATTAGATTAGCACATTTTTCTTTTTCATTTACAAAGATTAGCACATTTATCTTTTCAGAGGTTCTTCAAGGCACAGATCGAAGAGACCCTGATTCTGGTCTGACACGCGTCCATATATTTTTTCCACCATCATTTTGGATCCTCATCCAGTGGGATGTATGAACCCACTGTATATTTCAATATATACCAAACCAAGCACAGTACACAATGATCCCCACTAGTCAAAGTGCTAATAAAGCAGCATTATTTGGATCTGTAACACCATCACCCCTCACTCTACTTCAGTGCATCAGATACTGCTGAATATAACCTCTATTGAGATGACAGATGTTAACACACGAGGCCTCATCCTGTCCACACATACTGCACAATTACAATTACTTTGAGTGAAATGTGACCTAGACATGATAAAGTGAATATCACCCAAATTCAGACTGAATTACTAGTATAATTTGTCTTTTCTGACCCCAAAACTATCAATAAAGGACCAGTGAAGAGCATAATGCTCCACCAGCAGCACCAAACAGAGTTGCAAAATAATGACTGTTCCTAAATAGATTTCCTAAACACTTCTTCTATGTGTTTATTGACATGCTCATGCTCAGTGGCTACGTTTACATGCAACCAAATAATCCGTTAGTAATCAGATTGACGGCTCAATCGGACTGAAAAGCCTTCATGTAAACACCTTAATCGATCCGATTGAGCTCGATCCCAATGAGATTTGGATCGGATTGAAAGGGGTGGTTTATTCCTTTTCTAATCCGATCGAGAGAACATGTAAACACTTGATCAGACTGAAAACAGAAACTGAAAGGACTGCGCATGTGCAATGATATAGAAATAACGTAATGATGCGGAACGAGCTGTTCTTCCTGTTGAATAAAGTGTCTAATGATATCAATGAGTGTCCCGTCATCCTAAAATACTCCTTTCACTCTTCAGTGTCTGTGAAGTGGAGCAGGACGACATCCCACTAGTCCTTGTTTCAGACTCTCATCCACAGACAACTGGTTTTGTCTCCAAATTATGTTTCATTGTCTCCAAATTATGACCAGAGACAAATATTAAGTCTGCTGTTTAAAACAAATAAAGAACCAATGTAGGAGAATGGTTATTTTGTCCAAACAGCGGGAAACTCTGTATATTCGTGCAGTGTGCGCGTGTCAAACAATCAATTCAGATTTGAAGCTTGTGGCATGTAAACGCGCACATCAACCCGATCACATTTAGCGTTCCTGTAAACATTACGTTCAGATTCATCAATCGGAATGAATTCAGTCTGATTGAAACAAAAGTTGTGCATGTAAACGTAGCCAGTGACATACTCAAACAGCGTTGCTTGATCCTGTTCCTGGAGATCTACCTTCCTGCAGAGTTCAGATCCAGCCCTGATCAAACACACCTGTCTGTCATCATCAAGTGCTCCTGAAGATCGTAAAGAGCTGCTTCAGTTGGGTTTGATCAGGGTTGGAGCTGAACTCTGCAGGAAGGTAGATCTCCTGCAACAGGAATGGGCACCTCTGTCCTAGAAAGTATTGAAACACTTCACATTTCAATGAATGTGAACCAGAATAGAAATGATCAATCCTCAACCCCAACAATCATGAACTTCAAATCAATGACACACGTGGACTCACATGGGTGGAGTTGGTCCGGATCAGGCCGTGGTTGTGGTTCTGTTGCTCTCTGAACTGCAGGCCTGCCAAGTGTCTCTCCAGAGCCGCCCAGTCCATGGCTGGAAGTTGGCTTTCCTCCACACATTCTTCCCTGTTTCGTCCCAGCCCGATCCCGCCTCCAACCTCACCAGCTCCTGTGACAGCGCTCCCGTGGCTGGCTCTGCCTAAAGTCTTGCCCTCGCAGGGCGCCAGGGGGTGGTCGCAGGGCACTACGGCATTGCCGTTCTGCTTGAGTTCCTCGGGCACGGGGGTGGCGGCGTGACCTGCGAGAGGGGCCGCGGGTGCTTTGACGCTCTGGAGCTCCTCTGCCAGGCTGCGGCTGTTAACAGAGCCGTGGATCACTCCGGTCTGGCTGAAGTCCTGATGCTGGTTGTCTGCATAGTTCCCACCGTACTCCCTCTCCCAGTCCACCAGCACTCTCTTCTTGTACTGCTGGTAGTCCTCGTCCTCCTCATAGTCCTCCAGTCCGGCCAGCTCCAGACTGGGAGAGGACTTGTACTCGGAACATGGCGTCACCTTGTTGGAATTGGACTCCGAGCTGGAGCGACTGGAAGAATCGCTGCCCAGGTCCATGCCATCCTCCCGGTAATCCTGAGACACAGACACAACACATTACAGGCATATACTTTGGAAAACATTTTTCATGATCAAGTGCATGCATATATTACAGCCAAATTCCAAACCAGTTACTGCTTTGCTCACCATATTCACATGTGTGTCTATACATCAGAATAATCTCAGTCTATCTTTAATCTTTTGAGCTTTTCATTTATTTTTATTTCTAAACTTTTTGGTCGTTGAGATCACAGATATCATCCATTTGGGTAAGATGGTCCCACATTCAACCCAGACTCCACTAGAAAGCACCTCTGAAAGGAAATGTACATTTTTATTAGTAAACTCTGACAAATAAAGGTTCCAAAATGGGGGTTTCACAGCAATGCCATAGAAGAGGGGTTTTTCAAACCTGTCCTGGAGGACCCACAGCACTGCCAATTAGTTCTTGCCAAAGCTCGCTCTGTTTTGCTGTAGATCATTAAACTGTAACACTGTTTCGTGAGGTGCGTTCGTGTGCAAATGCTGCCTACAAAGTCATTGCCTGATAAGGCAACAAGTCAGCTGCTCAAGTTTTCGATAAGGGACATACATACAGACATACAGAGGCTGTGTCTGAAATCACCCCCTATATCCTTAAATAGGGCACTATTTGAGGGGACAGCCATGTGTAGTAGTGTCTGAAACAATAGTGGACGTTATCGAGTGCGCTCATTCAATCCCACAATACACCGAGCCGAATAAATTCCCGCATCTCATCCATGGATGGTGAACCATCCATCCATCCATCCATTTACCCATCCATCCATGCTAGTTTCCATGACAGAGTTGAAGATAAATCTTTTCATTACTACTGGAGCTATCAGTTTGCTACATTTCAAATCATTATTAAACAGCGAGCACAAACTATGCAAAAGAGGCAGCCCTTCCGGTGCATTCACTGTCCGAATTCACTCACTCGTTTTCATTCACTCCATCAAGTGAACTATATACGTGGAGTAATGTAGGGGATAGTGAATGAGGGTATAGGGGATGATTTCAAACACAGCTAAAATGTGCAGCGCTGGGGGTCCTACAGGACAGGTTTGGAAACCCCTGCCATAGAAGAACCATTTTGATTCCACAAAGAACTTTTCAATGAACAATTCTTAAAATAATCGTTTTGTTTTTCTTAGTGTGAAGAACATTTTAAAATGCCAAAAAAGAACCATCATAATCATTTTCAAGCATGAAATTTGGTATGTAGATGCAAAGTGTCTACAAGAGGCAGTGTACCAAATTGTACGACAATTGGCCTCACGGTGGTGCTATAATCCAGTGTTTCCCAACCCAGTTCCTGGAGGCACACCAACAGTGCACATTTTGGATGTCTCTCTTATCTGACCCCTCTATGTCTGGTCTTGGAGCCTAATGAGCTGATGAGTTGATTTTGGTGTGTTTGATTGGGAAGGGTTAATGTGTAGTGTTGGTGTGCCTCCAGGAACAGGGTTGGGAAACACTGCTATAATCAATAAATTTGCCTTTTTGCTCACGTCCTAGCAATCATAAGGGCTAGAATCCTTAGCTCTGTCCCAAATTAAGTGGTGGTTTTGCGATGGCCACCGTGTATGTAATGCCCGTCAATCTACCAGACCGCAGGGTGTCATATTTGTCAGCTTTTTGGCCGCTATGTGTCCTGAATGAGCACTTTTGCAGGATTTGTACTGAGGCTGGCTCCACAGCAGACAAACCCGACAATCTGCGACACAAAAGTGTGGAGTAGAGCGGCATTTGGGACACGGTTCTGAATCTAGCCTTTTTTCATTTTCAGTCAAGTATAATGTTTCAAACTCGGATCAGAGACACCCCTGACAAAAAGTTAACAAACGGATTTTGATTCATCAGATGGTTTGGTAGATATGAGATTGTTTTAGGCACGACTTCTATTATGTGTCTTCTAACTACATAAACACCAGGACAGTCTTGGTCCTTTTCCACTGACAAGGTATTGGTGCAGGAGTCTGATCTGATCTGGAGTCATTCCATGTGTTTCCATTGAAAAATAAACCAGGAACGCGAGGGCTGTGATAACCTAAACTGAATCTAGCAAGGCTGATAGCACAAAACTATCACTGCCTTTAAAATGAATGAAGTTAGTTTGAATAAAGTTAGTTAATTAATGAAGCCTTCCTGTCGCTCAAACTGTAGAGCATGGCGCTAGAAAGGTCAAGGTCATGGGTTTGATTCCCAGGGAAAGCAAAAACTGATCAAATTTGTATCTTGATTTACTTTGGATTAAAAGTGTCCGCCATATGTTTAAACGTAAGATAACACACACATGTACAGTGCGTCACACTGCACATCAGCTAAAACCACTTTATTATTACTGTTTATCTCAAATAACAACAAATTAAATTACAAATATCATGTGTGAATTGAATTCTACAAATGTACTTGTTACATATTTAAATAACTTGAGACCACTGCAGCAGCTCATAAAGGCGTAACATGCCGAGGTAATTTACTGTTAAAATATGTTATTAAATAGTAATATAATATTATATTATTTACAAACATAATATAAGGCCCCAACGCCGGTTGTGTGCAGGTTGTGTTCTCAGTAAGGTGTTTGTTCAGCTCTCGACTAGTTCAGATCTCCAGGTCGCACCATTTCAGGGTATCTGAGGACACATGCCAAATCTGAATCATTTCTAGAGCTAGGGGGCGCTGTTACTGTTGTTTTATTTTATAGTACATAAACAGTCATGTCAATAAATCAAATAAACCAGTTTCACTCGGAATTGGCAAAGGGAAACAGTCTTTAAGTTTTGTAAGGACTGAGTTTGGCCCCTGAAAGCAAACGCACAAAAACATCTGACGCCACATGGGACTTCCTTCCTGAGCTGGACTCCTGGTACAGAGACACACACTTCCTGACCAGCCTTTCTGTGTGTTCCTTCACCTGTACCGGATGTGTGGGGTTTGACTTTCAGTGCCAAACGCTCAAGAATAAACTCCTCCAGAACAGGAATGATGGATTTGAAGGACTACAGCTGCACAGCTAAGCTATGTGGAGCATTATTACACATATATACTACAACATAACAACTGAAAAATACAAGATACTCACAGCTAGTGCATTTCAGCACTGAAGTTATGAATGGAAAGTTAGCCTGAGATACAGTATGTGCCCTATTCAACAACACACACACACACCATGGCTGAAGCCTGATCACTGAGCAGCCATAGCACCGGCTCATCTCACACCACACATGTGCATGAATAGAGAAATAAAAAGGACTGAGAAGTGAATGGCTGTGTGGATACTATGAGCTGATTTCAGAATGGCTGTTTTATCTAAACATCATAAACCATTTTATGTGTTTGTATTATTTAAGATGGTTTTAAACTAAATGTTTAAGAAAATAAGGGTTACACTTTATTTCCAGGTGTCCTTGTTACAGTGTAATTATCCAAATAAGTACTGAGTAATATTAATTAACAACATGTAGGCCTATAGTTACTATAGGGTTAGGATTAAGGTTTGATTTAGGGTTAGTTGCATGTAATTACACATAATTTACTGTTATTAATATGGTAAGTACATGTAACATATGTAACGGACACTGTAAAATAAAGTGTTACCAAAATTGTCAACAATCAAAAAGCTTATAGTTACTGAGAACTCCCATGTATTGTAGCTAGATCGACCAGTTCACTACATAAACAGACTTATATATATATATATATATATATATAAAGAATATAATATAATACATAATGTAGGCCTATATTACATTTATGAACACATCAAGCCTCTGAATGAATCAAACATTCAATCAATGCGTTCAAATGTTAAATGTTGAACAATATCATGGCATTTAGCCTATATATATAAGCTATGCACACACACACACATAAATGTGTGATAAATATATATATATATATATATATATATATATATATATATATATATATATTCATATACATACATCATACACATCATTCATCTAGTAAAAACTGGCCATTATGACGCTTTATGATCAACTAAAGGCTTTTTATGAAGTCTGCTTATAAAATAAACGCTCTTACATGATCGAAACTGAAGACATTGTGAGTCCTCGCGTGATTTGTCGAGATCAGAGCTTTAATCTCACGAGACACCGGCCTTTATGTATAATCTCTCTAATGCCGCCGCCCGTCATGCAGCGCGCGCTCTCCGTTCATTGTGTTTTATTCTCTTATTTACATTAAGTGATTTTTAAAGTGATTGAACACGGACATAAATGTCTTAGAAACAGCTGTGGTATTACACACACACACACACACACACACACACACACACACAGTACACAATTCAGCCCATTTTACTGTAGTCATTCAGTTCTCTAATGATGTCAATGCAGTGATGTAATTCATTACGCTCATATATCATGCACACCCGAAGCGCGAGATGTTCGTGTGTTTAATTTAATGACAGTAATATTAATAACACAGTGCTCTTCAAACCGCCCATTAAATCTCATCGGCATTAAAGTAGCGCTCCGTCTGCTCATATTTCAAAGGAAATGTTTAAACGATCTCAGTCAGTCTGAAATGATGTCATGTTTCTAAAACAGTCCTCACACCCTCCCATTAAACATCCCAGCACAACACCAGTCCAGCATTAGACACATCTCACAGGGGCGAGCGCAATGTAGACCTCACTCACAGGAACGAGCTCAAACTCTACCATTCTTCTTCATATTTCAGTGAAATCACCAAAGAGCTGAGGTGAATCCCTTTAGACCAGTCGCTTTAACACACAGAACTTACTGTCATGTTCTCTGCCGGCTGTTCTCCAGTCTCAGGACATGTTTCTCAGGCTCGAGGTTACAGCTCCAGACGCGCGAGAGCGGACACCGTCCGCGGTGTAAGTCATGGCGGATCTCTGCCGAACACACACAACACCCCGGCGGCTCTCCTCTCCTCCAGCGGCCAGACAGCAGAGATAACCCTCCCTCTGAGGAGCTGCCTCAACTCCTACTGAGCTGCCTAGATAGACAGCATCTGTGACGCGCTCCGAGTGCGTGCGCGCGTGCGTGAGTGAGTGAGTAGGCGCGCGCTAGCGCTGCATGCCACAAAACGCTCTATAAACGCTCTATACTCGCTCTATACCCGCTTTATACCCGCTCTATAAACGCTCTGTATACGCTCTATACTCGCCTGTTACCCAACAATGCAATGTGATGCCCAAAATCAGTGCAGGGACCTATGCTCTATGTCACTCCAAAACATTGCTCACTAATATATTGCGCAAATATGTTGTTCTCACTGTCCAAAAATCTTACATTTTGCTGTAATGTCCAAACATACTGTACTCGCCTATAGTAGCTACACATGCTGTGCCTGTGCCTATTCTGACCCAAATGTGGCCGCATTAGCCTAATACCCAAAAATGATCCCCTCCAAAGGAAGTCATGTGTCCTATGTGTTATTAAAGGGGTCATGAACTGAGAATTCAAAATTTCCTTGATCTTTTGACAGTTAAGAGTTAGTTATACTAAAAAAATACCCTGTACATTTCAAAACTCAAACTTCCTTGTTATTGCAAAAACAGCTTTTATTGAAACCAAGGCTAGACAGGATCTGAGAAGTGGAGACTTGTGACGTCACAGAGCAGCGAAAGACCGCCTCTGCAGAAGAATATCAACGCCTACTACGTATACGTCACAGAGTCTTTGGCTCCGCCCACTGGAGCATTAGTGAATAGTGACATGAGAACGAGAAAAGATTGACACCGGATCAATAACATTAGCTTCCAAACGATCCTGATGCTAGGAAAGTGTTGTTGTTTTTTTCAACAATGTAAATGTCTCAGTTGAGCATTATTTGTTTGTAGTCGGTACATTTCACTGTGGATTATTTGTTAAATCAGTCGCAATTTCGACGCAGGCTTTGCAAACAGATTTTTACGATATGGATCTGCCAGCAACGCCACAAACATGTAATGAACCATGTTTATTCTAATGCCTGATCTGTGATCAGTGATTTCTGATGTGTAATTGTTCAAGGTCAGACAGATAATCTTTCTCTCAAAATCGTTCAATACTGTTTATCTATCAGTAAATCAAGCCACTAAACAATCCACTTCACATCGTTTCTCTTAGTAGGATGAAAATAATCTTATTTAAATTGTGATTAAATTATATGCAGAAAGCGATCAAAGAACGCTCCCTTTACAATCGCCTAGGCTGTCAATCATACAGCGCGAGTTTATCTGGACACTTACCACAACTCCCATTATCAATGACGCTGTTACACTGCACAACGAAGCTCTTACTGTGTTTACATCGTGTTTGCATTGGTGAAAGCATTCGTGAGAGTGCAGAAATTGCGTTGCAATGATGAGATCATCTGCTCAATCTGCTCAATGCTCATCACTGCAACCTTTCATGTGATCGGAATAGATCTAAATATAACTATAATCAACACTTCTCACCTTTCGTTAATCTCGATAGCTGTAATAGTAAAAATGTAGAGAGAGTTCCACATGTAATGCTAGCTATTTCAAATGCAAACATGTCAGCCAATCACAGGAGTGGGCGTTTACACTGAAGTCTCACAGTCAATCACAGCAGTGGGCGTTTACACTGAAGTATCACAGCAGCCAATCTGAGCAGTGGGTGTTTACACTGAAGTATCACAGCAGCCAATCACAGCAGTGGGCGTTTACACTGAAGTCTCACAGCAGCCAATCTGAGCAGTGGGTGTTTACACTGAAGTATCACAGCAGCCAATCACAGCAGTGGGCGTTTACACTGAAGTCTCACAGCAGCCAATCACAGCAGTGGCCGTTTACACTGAAGTATCACAGCAGCCAATCACAGCAGTGGGCGTTTACGCTGAAGTCTCACAGCAGCCAATCACAGCAGTGGAAGGAAACTGACCCGCTACATCAGACTCTGAGACGCTTGAGGAAACTGACCCGCTACATCAGTCTCTGAGACGCTTGAGGAAACTGACCGGCTACATCAGTCTCTGAGACGCTTGAGGAAACTGACCCGCTACATCAGACTCTGAGACGCTTGAGGAAACTGACCCGCTACATCAGACTCTGAGACGCTTGAGGAAACTGACCCGCTACATCGGTCTCTGAGACGCTTGAGGAAACTGACCCGCTATATCAGACTCTGAGACGCTTGAGGAAACTGACCCGCTACATCAGTCTCTGAGACGCTTGAGGAAACTGACCCGCTACATCAGACTCTGAGACGCTTGAGGAAACTGACCCGCTACATCAGACTCTGAGACGCTTGAGGAAACTGACCCGCTACATCAGACTCTGAGACGCTTGAGGAAACTGACCCGCTACATCAGACTCTGAGACGCTTGAGGAAACTGACCCGCTACGTCAGTCTCTGAGACGCTTGAGGAAACTGACCCGCTACATCAGTCTCTGAGACGCTTGAGGAAACTGACCCGTTACATCAGACTCTGAGACGCTTGAGGAAACTGACCCGCTACATCAGACTCTGAGACGTTTGAGGAAACTGACCCGTTACATCAGACTCTGAGACGCTTGAGGAAACTGACCCGTTACATCAGTCTCTGAGACGCTTGAGGAAACTGACCCGTTACATCAGACTCTGAGACGCTTGAGGAAACTGACCCGTTACATCAGTCTCTGAGACGCTTGAGGAAACTGACCCGTTACATCAGACTCTGAGACGCTTGAGGAAACTGACCCGCTACATCAGTCTCTGAGACACTTGAGGAAACTGACCCGCTACATCAGACTCTGAGACGCTTGAGGAAACTGAACCGCTACATCAGACTCTGAGACGCTTGAGGAAACTGACCCGCTACATCAGACTCTGAGACGTTTGAGGAAACTGACCCGTTACATCAGACTCTGAGACGCTTGAGGAAACTGACCCGTTACATCAGTCTCTGAGACGCTTGAGGAAACTGACCCGTTACATCAGTCTCTGAGACGCTTGAGGAAACTGACCGGCTACATCAGACTCTGAGACGCTTGAGGAAACTGACCGGCTACATCAGTCTCTGAGACGCTTGAGGAAACTGACCGGCTACATCAGACTCTGAGACGCTTGAGGAAACTGACCCGTTACATCAGTCTCTGAGACGCTTGAGGAAACTGACCCGTTACATCAGTCTCTGAGACGCTTGAGGAAACTGACCGGCTACATCAGACTCTGAGACGCTTGAGGAAACTGACCGGCTACATCAGACTCTGAGACGCTTGAGGAAACTGACCGGCTACATCAGACTCTGAGACGCTTGAGGAAACTGACCGGCTACATCAGACTCTGAGACGCTTGAGGAAACTGACCCGCTACATCAGACTCTGAGACACTTGAGGAAACTGACCCGTTACATCAGACTCTGAGACGCTTGAGGAAACTGACCCGCTACATCAGACTCTGAGACGCTTGAGGAAACTGACCCGCTACATCAGTCTCTGAGACGCTTGAGGAAACTGACCCGTTACATCAGACTCTGAGACGCTTGAGGAAACTGACCCGTTACATCAGACTCTGAGACGCTTGAGGAAACTGACCCGTTACATCAGTCTCTGAGACGCTTGAGGAAACTGACCCGTTACATCAGACTCTGAGACGCTTGAGGAAACTGACCCGCTACATCAGACTCTGAGATGCTTGAGGAAACTGACCCGCTACATCAGACTCTGAGACGCTTGAGGAAACTGACCTGCTACATCAGACTCTGAGACGCTTGAGGAAACTGACCCGCTACATCAGACTCTGAGACGTTTGAGGAAACTGACCCGTTACATCAGACTCTGAGACGCTTGAGGAAACTGACCCGCTACATCAGACTCTGAGACGCTTGAGGAAACTGACCCGCTACATCAGACTCTGAGACGCTTGAGGAAACTGACCGGCTACATCAGACTCTGAGACGCTTGAGGAAACTGACCGGCTACATCAGACTCTGAGACGCTTGAGGAAACTGACCCGCTACATCAGACTCTGAGACGCTTGAGGAAACTGACCCGCTACATCAGACTCTGAGACGCTTGAGGAAACTGACCGGCTACATCAGTCTCTGAGACGCTTGAGGAAACTGACCCGTTACATCAGACTCTGAGACGCTTGAGGAAACTGACCCGCTACATCAGTCTCTGAGACGCTTGAGGAAACTGACCCGTTACATCAGACTCTGAGACGCTTGAGGAAACTGACCCGCTACATCAGACTCTGAGACGTTTGAGGAAACTGACCCGCTACGTCAGACTCTGAGACGCTTGAGGAAACTGACCCGCTACATCAGTCTCTGAGACGCTTGAGGAAACTGACCCGTTACATCAGACTCTGAGACGTTTGAGGAAACTGACCCGCTACATCAGACTCTGAGACGCTTGAGGAAACTGACCCGCTACATCAGACTCTGAGACGCTTGAGGAAACTGACCCGCTACATCAGACTCTGAGACGCTTGAGGAAACTGACCCGCTACATCAGACTCTGAGACGCTTGAGGAAACTGACCCGCTACATCAGTCTCTGAGACGCTTGAGGAAACTGACCCGTTACATCAGACTCTGAGACGCTTGAGGAAACTGACCCGCTACATCAGACTCTGAGTCGCTTGAGGAAACTGACCCGCTACATCAGTCTCTGAGACGCTTGAGGAAACTGACCCGCTACATCAGTCTCTGAGACGCTTGAGGAAACTGACCCGCGCCATCAGACTCTGAGACGCTTGAGGAAACTGACCCGCTACATCAGACTCTGAGACGCTTGAGGAAACTGACCCGCTACATCAGTCTCTGAGACGCTTGAGGAAACTGACCCGCGCCATCAGACTCTGAGACGCTTGAGGAAACTGACCGGCTACATCAGACTCTGAGACGTTTGAGGAAACTGACCCGCTACATCAGTCTCTGAGACGTTTGAGGAAACTGACCCGCTACATCAGACTCTGAGACGCTTGAGGAAACTGACCCGCTACATCAGTCTCTGAGACGCTTGAGGAAACTGACCCGTTACATCAGACTCTGAGACGTTTGAGGAAACTGACCCGCTACATC